ACCATTTCGGACAGATGGCTGTCCAGTCTCTTCTTAAAAACTTCCAGTGTTGGAGCATTCACCACTTCTGGAGGATAGGATAGGATGGGATGGGATGGGATAGGATAGGATAACCTTTATTGTCATTTTTTACTGTGAGCACACTGGCCCACATTAAAAATGAAATTGTGCTTGCCTGTTCTCCAAAGAAGGCAAAATGTTTTCCCGAAAATAAGACTGGATCTTATATGAATTTTTTGCTCCAAAAGATGGATTAGGGCTTATTTTCCAGTTAGGTCTTATTTTCAGGGAAATACGGTACTAAATTGTCCACCTGGGCAGAGTCATTGTAAAGGATATGAAGTAAAACAATAATCCAAATATTTATATGAGTGATATAGTTGATATAAAATATAGAATAGGTGGGAATTTAAAGGGTATAAAAAGCTATGGATCAAACTCATTATTTGAAGTATAAAAAGTATAAAAGATATGTTAATTAATATACTAAATAGGGCTTACTCATTCTTGGCAATTATGCTGGCTGGAGGATCCTGGGAGTTGAAGTCCACCATCTTCAAGTTGCTGCAGTTGTGAAAACTACATTGAACACTGATCCAAATAGATATATAATAGGACAATGTCACTTAAAAATATCCCAGATCCCTTATCTGCGTCAGAAACCATGCTGCTTACATCTGCAAATAGTCCAGTGACTTTTATCATTTCAATGATGGTTTGCCAGATAGTTGAAAGATGGTCTGTCCGTTCTGTTTTTCTAGGAGGTGCCATTGGTGGCTTGCTTGGGGCCTGGATGACCTCTGGACAGTTCAAGCCCATTCCTCAGATTATCCTGGAACTGCCCCCTGTGGAGCAGCAGCGGCTTTACACAAATGTCTGTGCCATTATTCAGAATCTGGACTGGACCGACCTAGCCCAGCTCACCGCCTTGGTCATGTCCAACGGCGCCCTTCAACAGAAATTGCTTGGAGTCCTGACAGACTATATCACTACAGAGCTCAAAGGGGAAATCCAGTATGGAAACTAGACTCGGATGTGTCTTTAAGGGGGCCGAGTGCCCTTGGTTCCCTTCTGGCATTTTAGATTTCTTAAGATCATGGTTTTTATAGGAATAACAAGATGGCAACTGCATTTTTACCCAAAATTATCTGAACAAGGCAAGCTTTGGTTTGCCCATGCTGTGGTTGGGTTGTTGTTGTTTTTTTGCGTAATTAGACTCTATTTCAATAGCTAAGGTTGGATCGGTTTGAGCCTCAATGTTTATTGTATTTATTTAAACATCTATTTATGCCACCCCAAAATCCCACAGTGGTATTTGGAGTGCCTTGCTGAGTAAGCACCTCTGGTCCATCTGACCTTCTAAGCAACAGCCTCTGTAACGGTGACGCCATCAAAGAAAGTGCCGCCATAGCATCCTTGTATTGTAGTCAAGGAGATAAGTCATGGCGTTTGCACTATGAGGATGTCACCATTTGCTGCTCTTTGATGTGCATCATTCTAGATGAATACACTGAACAGGTGTTGTCAGCCTTTCCTGCCCAATTGCAGGCGTTGGATCTGTGATCAATTGTCCTACCCGAATATGTTCCCTAGCTGAAGAGAGACAGGCTGGTGGTTGACATATCTTCAGGATACCCAGTTGGAGAAACCTAACGATTCACTGTGGTTGAACTGTGTGGTGTCCTCTTGGCCACATTACAACGATCAACATCAAATCCCTTGGAATTTCTCAAGAGGGGGTTAACTTCTCGATGGTATGTGCTTCTTCTCCTTCTGCCTTAATGTTGAGAGGGTGCAGGAGTGAAAAGTTGAAATCGTTCCGAGCCAAAAATGTAGCAGATGTTTCATCTTAGGTATTTCTCCCGAAGATAAGTGCAAATAAAGCTGAATTTTAATGTGTGAACGGCCAAGTTTGTATTCCCATTATTCCCCTTCCTTCAGAGATGCTAAACTGGGCTTCCTAAACGCACGCTGCCTTCAGTTGAGAACGTTCAACAGGCAGAAACCAGGAAGAAAGATTTGGGAGTAACAAAGAATATTAAAAGTCCAACATCCAGGTTTTACAGTTTGGGTTTTTTTTTTTTTTTTTAAAAATGAAAATACAGGTAGTCCTCAACCGACTTAAAACAGTTCATTTAGTGACCATTCCAAGTTACGACCGCCCTGAAAAAGTGACTTATCACCATTTCCCCCCACATCCTTTGCAGCATTCCCATGGTCATGTGATCAAAATTCAGATGCTTGGCAACGGACTCATATTTATGACAGTTGCAGTGTCCCAGGGTCACGTGATCCCCTTTTGCGACTTTCCGACAAGCAATTAATTAGTTGGAAACTAATCAAGGAGAGAAGCAACCTAGAACTAAGAAGAAACTTCCTGACAGTGAGGACGATTAACCAGTGGAACAACCTGCCTCCAGAAGCTGTGAATGCTCCAACACTGGAAGTTTTTAAGAAGAGACTGGACAGCTATTTGTGCAAAACGGTATAGGGTTTCCTGCCTGAGCAGGGGGTTGGACTAGATGACCTTCAAGGTCCCTTCCCATATTATTATTATTATTATTATTATTATTATTATTATTATTATTATTATTATTATTATTATTATTATAGTCAATGAGGAGAAGCCAAATGTGTTTAACAACTGCAGTGATTCACTTAACAACTGTGGCAAGAGAGGTCATAAGATGGGGCAAAGCTCACTTAACAAATGTCTCACTTAGCAACAGACATTTTGGGCCCAACTGTGGTCATAAGTTAAGGACTATCTGTAATAGCAACCGAGGAATGAAAAACAGCCTTCGCAGTGCTTATCTCATAAGAGAAATTGGAGCATGGGGAAACATCTTCTGAAGGACAGATATAAACAAGGTAACCTTTGACAAGTGACTAAGAGAACCCTAGGTGAGGATGGCAGCCTTGCAGATAAATTGGGAACAAGGGAATTCCTGTAAAAGGCTGCTTTGAAGAGAACCTCAAGGCTGCAAACTAAGGGAGAATGGTAGCAAGTTGCACAATGAATACTTTGCAATAGTGGCGGATATCTGCAGCTCGGGATTAGGATGAGGGCGAAGGTTCGTTCTCTGAGCTTGTGGTTGGTAGCTGAATGTTTCGTCACCAAGCTAAGTAATAGCTTCAGCAGAGTTTAGTGCAGGCATGTCAAACCCCCGGCCCACGGGCCACTTGCGGCTCGCACAAGCCACACCACCCCAGCACCGCAAAGGTGGAAAACTCACGATACGTCACCATACGGCCCGCAATGCGATTGGGCTTGACACCCCTGGTTTAGAGGATGTCTTTGTGTCAGTGTTCTTTTGTTTATAAGGACTTCGGGTGTGGGTGTGTCAAGTAAAGGTCTTGTGTTGGGTCAGGTGTGAATCATCGGTGAGAGGCTTGTGATGGGTCTTGTGATGGGGAGGTTACATCAGCTTACATCCCCTGAACTCCGCTGAAGATGTTACCCAGCCTGGTAACGAAGCATTCAGAAACTGACCCACAAGCTCAGAGAACAAAACTTCACCCTCACAATCAATACTCTTTGAACAATGGAGAGCAGGCATCACACCAAGTTAATCATTGTGTATCTTTATCTTATTTAGAGACCATTGTACAAGGAGATAAGTTGTAAGCCTGCATTGAGTGGGTGAATGGCCTTGGAAACCTCTCAAGGATCAGCTTAAACAGAGTAATTAAATTTACATGTAGACTTTTCGAATCTGCTCTTTTGAAACATATCTTTATTTGCTGACATATCGGTGGATTTCCTGAACCTATTTATCTGCCTTGGTCTAACCTTTGGTTGTTTGTGTTCGGGTACACAGAGCAGCAGTTATTACTGTAACACATTTATTGCAGCAGATAAAAACCAACAAAGTCTATGTTTCGGATTATTTTCCATGCATTGTCAATGTTTCTTAATTTAGGGAGGGAACAAAAAAACCTTAATCCATGTGTTGATTTTACAACTTTTCTTCTGGGTTAAACTCAGTGAGTTAAATTTGATTTTGTTCTGGAGAAATTGAAGAATGAATGCTATCACTTCCAGATTTTTTTATTATTTCTCTTCAGGATTGTGAATAATCTTCAGTGCTTACTTCTTGGATATAGTTTGTGAGGGTTGGAAGAGTACCTGGGAAGTAAGAGACAGAGCAGCATTTAGTCTTATATCTTATATCTTCGTGGTGTTTTACAACACACACACAGCGGTTTACAGAGTCAGCATCTAGCCCCCAACAACCTGGGTCCTCATTTTACCGACCTTGGAAGGATAGAAGGCTGAGTCAACCTTAAGCTAGTCAGGATTGAACTCTGTGCTGTGGGTAGAACTAGCCTGCAATACTGCATTCTAACCACTGCGCCACCATAGTAAGTAGGCTGGTCAATTCTAGTCTGAACTCTCCTTACTCCCTAGATTTCATTTCTCCAATATTCCTTTGTCTTTTATTTTTTTATTTATTCCTTGCAGGCTTCTATGGAAAGGGTCAAACTGCTCAGAATTCTAAATGGCCTTTTTTGCATAGGTTTTTGGAAATCTGGCCAAAGCACAAATGTGTTCCAAGGCTAAGGTCTGCCAACCATGTTAGGAAATCAACAACAATCCATGTGCAATTGTACCTTCACAGCAAGCGAAATAGGAATGTAGATCGCTTTGAAATGAACTTCCCCACTAGAGTGAGACAGATCAACTTTTGATTTAAATTATAAATGTTATGCAAATATTGCACACACCTCCTCCTCTTCCTCCTCCTCCTCATCTTCGTCATGGGTTAGACAAGAGGAACTTTTTAGAACTGGTAGATCCCCAATATGTTGCGGTTCATCAGGTTCCTGCTAAAACCTGCCTGGTTTTCTAAAAAGTATTTTTTATGAATAGATGTACTTAGGGCTGCTCAACCCAACAGGAAAGTGTTGAGGTAGTCCACATATCCTAGCTCTATTTTAGCATTCTGTTCCACTGTTCTCAATCCTTCCCTTGTTGTCATGTTGAGAACAAATTTAGGCTCAACCAAGCATACACTGCCTTTACTCTTAGAGAAGGATAGGTGAACAGACCAACTGATCATTTTCAGGAATGGTGTGGTACCCCATAAACATCTGAGGATAATAAACAGCATCCTCATTTGCTCGCCTTCTGCTAGATTGTTATTTGTGTTTGGTCAAGGCCATCATGTCTGTCATGCTCCCCAACTTCCAAATGTCATCTTATCTAAAGATAGGCAAGTATAGTTACACAACTTTAAGCTATCGAACTTCTGGGCTGCCAAGCCAGGAAGCTGGGGCTTTAGGTGGGACAGAGCGAAGCTGAACTGTCATTGGCAGATGGGGAGATGCTTCCATCTGCTTCCTTGGATGCCCCAGTAACCTCCAACCTCTTTCTTCTCACATTTATTGACTTGGCTACTTAGTTTATGAAAGAGAGCCACGTCTTCCAACTTTGCCTTTTCCAAATGTTTGTTTGGATTGTGGCTTTCAGACACGCCAACCAGGGTGAGAACAAGGTGCAGTGATGGGCAGGGTTCTCACTGAATTGAACTTAGTGTAATGGCTAATAAGATGCACAAGAGGGCTCTTTTGGATTTGTTTACAACAGCAGCGTTTTAGCCCAAATATGTAAGCCATTGATGAAAAACTTAATGAAACTTAGACCGAGATACAGGACAAACCTTTAAGGCAGTGGTGGGCAAGTGGCCACTTCTGGCCAATCTATGGACTATCACTAGTTTTCTCACCCAGATCTTTTAGGAATGAGAAGGCAGGATAGTCCTCGATTTACAAACCACAGTTGAGACTAGAACCCCCATGGCCAAGCAAGGTGACTGTTAAGTGAGTAATGCCTGATTTTATGACCTTAAACAAATCAGCACAGTTGTTAAGCAACCCAGCTTTCTCCATTGATTTTCCTTGCCAGAAGCTAGCTTAAATGGCAATCCTGCGATCTTGTGATGTGGCAACCGTCATAAATACACACCGGTTGCCAAGTGCCTGAATCATGATCACATGACTGCAGGGATGCTGCGATGGTCGTAGGTGCGAGGACCACTTGTAAGTCACTTTGTGTTGTGATTTTGAACAGTCGCTCAACTAATGGTTGTTAAGTTGAGGACTTACTTACCTGTACCCTAATCTGTTTTTGTGAAAAATGCACCAGTGCCTAAAAGTCACAGTCTTCCTTGTGAGGCAGCGTAGCACAAGCAATTCAAAACCATGATTCAGTTGGACAGCTGGGCAGCTGATCTTCTGCAGGTCCATAAAATCAAATCTACCATTTTTGAAAGACAGAAGAATTGTGGAGACAGTCCAGACGACAAGCTGTTTGGGGATGGGGCAGCTCTGCCATTTTGTCTTAAATTAAAAACCATAATTAATTTTTTAAAAATTATATTTCTTTAAAGTTAATTACTGGTTATCTTTCACCAGTCACGAAATTACTTCCGCACGTCTTTAACCCAATTGCTAAATTCATTCATTTTTGGTTTTGCTGACTACATTCAAATCGTTTAAACCCAGAGAGTCTCAAACGACACCAAAGGAAAAAAAAAAACTGTTTCCCCAATCTTAGCAGGCTGTGTGCAATGTTGCTAGCTGCATGATTGATCTGATTGCTGATAAGTTGTGCATAGGCCTGCCTCACTTCGTCAGTAGTTTCAGCCTTTAAACTCAAGAGCTGATTTCCGGTTTTTGTTTTTGTTCTGTAGAAGCCGCGTTTTCAGAGAGTTTTGCCTTGTATTATTTTTGCTGATGCTCATTTTAATTGTGATGCTCTTTTGCTATGATTTGCTTACTTGCGAGTGTAAACAGAGAATGGATCATCAATGCATTTGTCTTTGACACAGCAAGAGATAGCCACAGGATGTGCCACTATGGTTTGCCACAGGGTGGCACTTAAAAAAGCAGCATTGCAAAATGCATACAGCTGATTAAGTTTCCAAGAGATACAATAGTATCTTGCATTAAATAAGGGCGTGCCCAATCTTGCAAAAGGGGCGCATGGCCAAGTTTTATACATTGGCCCGCCACCATCCTAGGAACATCCCAAATGTGCTTTTTGCCAAAAGGCAACTGGGCTATCTTGATGATGATGATGATGATGATGATGATGATGATGATGATGATGATGATTTTGAAAAGTTTCACTTCTCATCCAAGAAGCTTCTTCAGCTCTGGATGAGAGGTTAAGAAGCAAAACCCCAGAAGCATTGTTGAATTCATTTAATCCTGTTGCAATTGGAACAGGATGTTCTGTTCCACATTAAAATTTTATTGGTTTTTTTTTATGGACTTAATTGGGGAAAAAAACATATTTTGACATCAGAAAAAGGGCGGATGGCCTGTTTTTAATTTATCTTCAGGATTCTTGGCTTATGATTGGAAACATCTCCCTACAGTTCAAGCAGCCTGTTGGTAAAGCAGAGTGACAATTATGGGATGGAAGACCAAGATATTTGAAAGGTATCTAGATGGAAAAGTTCCTTTAGGGAATTGGAGCATGCAAGGATCCGCTACGAGAAAATTATTTCTATTCTGTCAACATGCTGGAGGTTATCTGGGGATTTAATTCTTGGCTAGTAAAGTTCTTATGCTGCAGAAGTTCTTGTTATCCACCTTTAGGATCTGTGGACTTCAACTCCAGAGTTTGTCTGTCTATCTGTCTGTCTGTGCATTTATTTATTTATTTGATTGATTCCTGAACATGGATGGCTCAGGAATTCTGGGAGTTGAAGTCCACTGGTCATAAAGATGCCATAGTTCCCCATTCCTGCTTTAGGTGGTCAAAGCTATTTTTTGTTTCGTTTTGCCTATCCCCATCTGATATTTCTATGCCATTTGGAAAGACAAAAGTGCTTTCAGCTGATCAGCAAAATTACAAGCAAACTCATACAATAATAATCTCTTAACACTGAAGTCCGTATCTGCAGCATGTAGATTTTTTTTTTTTAAAAAAAAGACAACTCTATTAAGAGAGGTACTATTTTATCAGGAAGTAGCACATGTTAAAAACATAATTTATGTTGATCTTATTAAAAATAATTGGCTCTTTCCCATAAATATAATTCAATACTGCCAACAAATCACTTTTCTGTTTATCCGACTTCTATTTTAGTGTTCTAAGACACATCTGCTTTGTGTGATAAAGGATCACTAGTTATCAAAATTCCCTGCTTCTCACAAACAAGTCACTAGTTGTATTCCTAAATTGCATTAAGCTTTGGTTTACTGGTTGAGTTAAAAAACACTTCAAGCGAAAAATGCATTAAACAAACCACAGTATCATGGATTGTATGAGCATAAACTAGAAAAGGACCCCAAATATCTATACCCAGTTCCCCAAACTTTTTTTAAATTAACTTAAAAGCAGTCAAACCAACCTCAGTTTTTAATTCTTCTTGTTCTCAGGTTGATCTAAAAAAATTAAATACACAGCTTAGTTTTTGAAATGTAATACTATTGTAAATTTCATCAAATAACTTCCATTTAGTGCTTCATAAGAAGTGCCCTCCATTTTCAAGGCTGGGTGATCTTCTGGAAATTATCGTTTTGATTTCTGGAATTCCAGAACTTGTGTTTTAGGTTTTGGTTTTATAAAAACTGGATTTCTTCAATAAACCCAACTCGGGAATATTTTGTTGAATTCTCAGGATGGAAATTCAACATTTGATGAGTGCTGACTATCTTCAAAATTAAATACAAAGAACCAACATTTTCTGAAAACACACCAATATATTTTAATCCGATTTGGAGCTTCAAGAAGAATGACTCAGTCTTAGAGGACCCAATTAAAAGTTGATGTATTGGCTTGAGGATAGTTTTTCTCCGTTATTCATAAAACAAAAAACTGATGGAGTGGAATACAAAGTTAGTCCTCTCACCAGTCCCTTAAAGACCCAGTCTTCTCTGTCATTTTCCAAAAGGACGACAGCCTTTAAAGAGAAGAAGTCCATGGAGCAATCAACTGTGGAAAGATGACCAGCTCACATCCGAGGTGTAAAATTCTGTCTCGGCAGGCCACTGTTCGAGTTTCTCTTCATCGGACCGGTCACTGTCATCCCCACTAGAAACTTCATAGGGAGGCAGAGAAGAATGAACTGGCTTTGCCTCGTCTCCAGATTCCTTCTTTTTGGCCATCAGCTGCTTGTAGCAAAAATTGCAAACCCTCAACGGCTTGGAGGACAGACGAGGCATGAGAAAACGGTGGCGGGAACAGTCTCCGCACACCACAAAGCCACACTTTCGACAGTGGTGTCTTCGGATGAGTGCCGAGAACTTGGTATGGGTGCAACGCATGCAGATATCGGTTGCCTTATCGGGAATCCAAGGGGCTGCATATTCGGTTGGGGGCTGCTGTCCCGTTTTGGACAAAAGATGGCGGATGCATTCTTCCAGGTGACTGACCCACTCTTTGCGCTCCGTCAGCGAGGCCGCCGAAACCACAAAGGATTTCTTGGAGGTCTTGATCATCCATCGGTTCTTCATTTGCAAGGTGTCCGGCAGAATCTCCAGCGTGACTTCGTCCAGCGGGATGATGTGCTGGCAGCTGTACTTCCGTTTGTTGATGACGATGCTGCCGTACACCAGGATATCATTGAAAAGGAAGAAAATTCGGGGCTTGGCTTTCTTACGGCATTCCTTGGTCAAAATCCCTTCACCCAAAAGGACCCTTCCTGGCACAGCTAAGGGCTGGCCGGATGTCCCAAAGCAGTTTTCCACCGCGGCAATCCGTTGACTGTTGATCTCGGTGTTAGCCAGGTAGTCTACCATCTTGAGGAGTCACCTGCAAAAACAAAAAACATCCAAACAGTAAATGACAAGATCAGGTATCATTTGTTCTACAATATCACCAAATCATGAAAAATAAACCCACCTATCTTTAAAGGCTTGTTTTACCATGGGCAAGGCCAAGGATTTTGAAAAGCAACCCACTTTTTATAGCACACGATACCGAAACTCTTTCCTGAATCATCCCTTGGAGTGTAACTGTAACTGTCAGATCCTGTCTAATGTAAGAACCCACCCCACTTTACATCTTAAGAAGACAGAACTCTTGGAATATCTCTTCCAACAGGCATCTTTATTAAGAGAAGATGGTTGTAGGCATTCTAGACAGGATCTGAGGGGCCAAACCCTACCATTCAATGTTTTAAGTGTTCCCCAAGCAGTCCCCACCCCACCGTCCTTCCAGCAACAATCCCAGGCGTTACATTTCCACCCCCTTTTCCTCACTGCCGGCAGAAGAGAGACTTCAGAGAGTAGTAGATGAAAGGTTATAGCCATATTGTTATGGTCAGTCCTCTTGGTGAGATCCACATTCAGTCCCTTTGAAGTTTTAATGAAGGAAGTGAGAGCCATAAAACCCCTTTGCTCATCCCCCTTCCCCTTCGTAGTATAACAGAATCCAGAGAGGGCAGAAATGGGGTTTTCCATAGTCGATAACTAGAAATGAAATATAATTGGATTCTGACAGCAACTTTAAGCTTATGACAAGAACAAAATCTATACAGGTAGTCCTCAACTCACTTTATTTAATGGTCAAAATTATAATGGCACTGAAAAAAAAGTGACTTATGACTGTTTTTCACCCTTGCAATCATTGCAGCATCCCCATGACCGTGTGAATAAAATAACAATAGCACTTAGACTTATATAACACTGTATAGTACTTTACAGCAGAGATCCCTAACCTTTTGGGCACCAGTGACCGGTTCCGTGGAGAGAGGTTTTTCTGCAGACCAGAGAGTGTGTGGTTTTGTGTGGTGCCTGCATCTCACGGATGGGGCTTTGCTGGTTTGTACAGACCGACTGGTGGCATGCCGTGGCCCGGTAACTGGTCCATGGACCGAAGGTTGGAGACCCCTGCTTTACAGCACTCTCTGGGTAGTTTACAACGTCAGCATATTCTCCCCAACAATCTGGGTCTTCATTTTACTGACCCTGGGAAGGATGGAAGGCTGAATCAACTTTCAGCCGGTCAGGATCAAACTCTGGGCTGTGGGCAGAGTTAGCCTGCATTACTGCACTCTAACCACTTGTGTTACTGCGGCTCTCAAGTCAAGACAGTTGGCAACTGGCTCATATTTATGACGGTTGCAGTGTCCCGGTGTCATGTGATCGCCTTTTGTGATCCTCTGACAAGCAAAGTCAATAGGGGAAGCCAGATTCATTTAACCACTCTGTTAACTAACTTAACCACTGCATTGATTCATTTAACAACTGTGGCACAAAACGTCCTAAAACGGGGCAAAACTCACGTAACAATTGTCTTGCTTAGCAATCGGAATTTTGGGGTCAATTGTGGTCGTGAGTCAAGGACTACCTGTACAGAACAAATCTACATATTTGCTGATATCTTTTGGTATTTCTCTTCCTCAACTATGGATGAAAAACTGCATGTTCTCCTGGGATTCAAGAGTGTCCAGCAGAGAGAGAAAGTTAGTAAAGAGACATTGCTCTATTTTCCTTCTGGTACGAGAGAGTTTCTTGTTTTTAAAAAGGGGGCTATTCAAAGATTGTCCCTCCCTGATATAAGCTTTCTAAAATGAGTCAATCTCCAAAAGGATTTTTCCATGTGATATTTCTCAGACCCTCCCACAAACTTCATTAGGCAGTCCAACATCCAAGGTCAAGAGACTTAACATGTCATATTTGGTTTGTTTAAACAAAGCTTTAACAGCTCTGGTTTCAAGCGTAGCACTCTTAAATATGGGGAAAAACTGAGTCATTTCCTCATAAACAAAGGTAAATCGAAGTTCACTGAGAATGTTCCCATATTTTTTTCTTCCACAGACAAATACAATTGCAAATATAACTGGTCATTCACAAAGAAATAGGAAGCTCATATAGGGGCAGGTTTCTTATCTGCAAGGGGTACGTAAATAAGCACTTTTTTAAAAAGAGACTTTTGTGAATGTTACATCCCTAAATGGCAAGTATACAGAGTGTAATATGGACATCGTTATCTTAAGAAAGTAAGAAATAAAACAATAAGGTTCTAACAAAGGAAAAGACTACAGCATAGTCTTGTGGTTGTATTGTGGTTTGTCATATCCAGCTCACAAACATATGCCAGCCAGTTAATACTTTTGTCAGTGAGGATAGAAATGTATTTGCAGTGATAAATCTTGAGTTGCAAAGGATTTGGCATTCAATAGAATTTAGCTGTCCTTACACAGGCAGGGTGAACATTTCTTAATTTTCATATCTTTTCCAATTCTACAATTTGACAAAAAAAAAAGAGCTCTTTTCTGGGACTGGAACTAAAGATGGCCACAAATGTAATCACTTTTACCCTACCATACTCATATCACATGGACGCACAAATAAACACACACCACGCTTCAATTCATTTAGCCTGTGAACCCAAGAGCAGAAGGAACCTATGTCTTAATTCTTGTCTACGCTATAGGGAGACTTCCCAACAGTCACAAATTTAGAAGGGTCTTCTAAAATGTGATATCTCATGGCCTGATGAATGTAAACATCCACCATCCTTTTATCCTAAGGAGATCTTCTGTGATACATCCTGTTTTGGAGGTCGTCCTCAAGATGATCAGTTTTTGAAGCAACCCAACACAAGTAAACGGGGAAGATAAGAACTCTAACTTTGCAACAACGAAACAAAAAATAGGTACTCCCTCGTCCTTATTCCTATTTTTCCTCCAACTTATTTGATGTGAGCAAAAAGGAAGCCAAGACTCTGGTGAGATGCTTGTGAAGAACCGCTGGTATCTGTTCTGTCTTAATAATATCATTCATTCTAAATTAATCAAGGAGAGAAGCAACCTAGAACTAAGGAAAAAATTCCCTAACTGTGAGAACAGTTAATCAGTGGGACGGCTTGCCTTCAGAAGTTGTGGGTGCTCCATCACTGGAGGCTTTTAAGAAGAGGCTGAACAACCATTTGTCTGAAATGGAATAAGTTAGGTTGGGCTAGAAGACTTCCAAGGTCTTTTCCAAGTCTGATATTCTGTATTCTATTCTGTAAACATCAATGCCATGCAGCTAGCTAGCTTTCTTTCTTTCTTTCTTTCTTTCTTTCTTTTTCTTTTCTCTTTCTCTCTTTCTTCCTTTCTTTTATCTTTCTCATTTCTCCCTCCCTCCCTCCTTTCTTTCTTTTTCTTTCTTTCTTTCTTTTCTCTTTCTCTTTCTTTCTTCCTTTCTTTTATTTTTCTCCTCCCTCCCTCCCTCCCTCCCTCCTTCCTTTCTTTCTTTCTTTCTTTTCTCTTTCTTTTCTCTTTCTCTTTCTTTCTTCCTTTCTTTTACCTTTCTCCCTCCCTCCCTCCCTCCCTCCCTCTCTCTCTCTCTCTCTTTCTTTCTTTCTTTCCTTTCTCCCCGTAAGGTGGTTGAGCTGAGAGAGAGAGAGAGAGAATGGCCCAAAGTCACTCAACCAGCTTTCAGGACAAGGCAGTATTACAACTCAAGCTCTCCTGATTTCTAGCCTGGTGCCTTAACCATGAAGACCAAACTGGCTTCCAAAACCAGTTTATGTTAAGGACTGATTAGTTCCCCTTTGCTCATTTAGAAGAATCATTTTCATTTAATGAGAAACAAAGAACCACCATCAACTTTGCCAAGCCTTTTTTTTTTTCCCCTGTTCTCTCCTTTACGGCTATAATGATTTTGTTACGCACTCCAGCAGGATGGGAAGAAAAAAACCCGAAGAAATCCGAGAGCACCTCTAAACTCTTGGCCCATTTGAAGTGGGAACTTGCACTTGGGAAAGGCAGCCAAGCTTTCGTAATTCTCACAGACAGGTTTTGCTGAGGGTTTTTTTCCAATAGGCTTCCAGCCACCTTTCGTCACATGGAAGGGTTTCCGATTCAAGGGATTGAGACGTTACACCGCTCTCTTTTGTAACTGTAAGCAGTTTGGACAGCTTTTCTCACTGTCAAGCCTTCCAGATGTGTGGACTTTCACTCCCACACATGAAATAAAGACACCATGTTGGAAAAGGCTCTTTGGAAGAATTTCCTCAAGGAAATCAACCCTGGCTGTTCTTTGGAAGGGCAGCTACCGAAGCTGAAGCTGAAATACTTTGGCCACCTAATGAGAAGAGAGAAATCCTTGGAAAAGAGCCTGGTGTTGGGAAAGAAGTTGGGATTAATTTGATTTTAAAGCCAGACTGAGGTTCGATTTGATTTTTGTTCTGACTTAGTCCTCCTGTGGGAGTGCAGCTCAAAAGCTAGAAGTGGTTTTGGCCTCCTGCAAGGGCTGCACATCCCTAAATTAACGGTTATAATTGCATTCACAGATTGAGGGCAATAGAAAGATGGAGAGCAAGAGAAGAAGGGGACGACAGAGAATGAGGTGGCTGGATGGAGTCACTGAAGCAGTAGGCGTGAGCTTAAATGGACTCCAGAAGATGGTAGAGGACAGGAAGGCCTGGAGGAACGTTGTCCATGGGGTCGCGATGGGTCAGACACGACTTCGCAACTAACAACAACAAAAGATTAAACTGAAAAGTCACCCTGATGGAATAGTTTATATAGGAGATTGCCCTGAAGGCTGCAAACACAAACAAAAAACAGGCAATATTTTTTAGCAAGAGGATATACTGAAGAAATTTAGAAAAGGGGAAAAAAAAACAGAAAGAAAGCCAAAAAGTTTAGGAATGGGGTGAAGGGAAAAAAAGTTCTTTCAAAGGAAGGAATGAAGGAAGGAGGGAGGGAGGGAAAGAAAGAAGGAAGGAGGGAGGGAAGGAAGGAAAGAGGGAAGAAAGGAAGGAGAGAGGGAAGGAAAGAAGGAAGGAGGGAGGGAAGGAAGGAAAGAAGGAA